CAGAAATGAAAGGGACCCAACTGCAGAGCTTTGGAAGAATTTCTCTGAGACATCTTGGAAAAGGAATGTTTTAATCGAATACATTTCTGGGTCATAAATGAGCTCCAAAACAGACACAAGCTTTCTTTCCCTCCACGCCCCCCCATTCCTTTCACAGGTGTTGAAAACTTTCTTATTAGAACTTATACATTGCCTTTTGGAGGCAACTCTGGTTATGTTAAAGTTTCTTGTTCACTATAGTTGTGAAGCATCTCTGATTTTCTGAATCAAGATTAATCATTTCATCATTTGTCATCCAATGGAGCTTGACTTATTCCTCTGTATTCACTTTTCCCACAGTTTGACTTGTGTTGAAATGTCATTGTGTACATGTCCTTCATTTCCACTAGACTAGGGTATTATGCCTCATTTATACAGATGCTTCCTGACTTATGATGGGGTTACATCCCAATAATCCATCATAAGTTGAAAATACCGTTAAGTCAAAAATACATTTAATACACCTAACCTATGAACATCGTAGTTTAGCATAACCTACCTTAAATATGCTCAGAACACTAACATTAGCCTACAGTTAGGAAAAAGCATCTCACACAAGGCCTATTTTATAATAAGGTATTGAATATCTCATGTAATTTATCAAATACTATACTGAAGGTGAAAACCAAAATGGTTACCTGGATATTCGAAGTGAGTTTCTACTGAATGCATATTGATTTTGCACCATCCTAAAGTTGAAAAATTTTAAGTTGAACCATCATAAGTCAGAGGCCATCTGTGTTTGTATCCACTAGTATCTGATCCCTTTTATTCAATTATTCATTGATTCTTTCACCACCTACCCAACCAACATTTATTTAGCATCAATTAGGCCCTTCAGATACGGGCGGGGGGGGGGTGGTGGGAACTGACATGATTCTTAAGATGTGCACAGTATAGTGATATGTAAGACAGATATGAAGACAAACAATTGCTGTACTATTTGATAAGTGGTCTCTAATAATACTAGTAATAATAACACTTAATACAGAACTCACAGCAAGGTGCGGTGGCTCACGCCTATATAATCTCAGCACTTTGGGAGGCCAAGGCAGGCAGATCACCCGAGGACAGGAGTTCAAAATCAGCCTGGCCAACATGGTGAAACCCCATCTCTACAAAAAATACAAAAATTAGCCAGGCATGGTGGCGGGCACCTGTAATCCCAGCTACTAGGGAGGCTGAGGCAGGAGAATCGCTTGAACCCAGGAGGTAGGGGTAGCAGTGAGCTGAGATCGCGTCACTGCCCTCCAGCCTGGGCAACAGAGTGAGACTCTATCTTGACCCAAAAAAAAAAACACACACACACAAAACCCCACTCTCTCTATATATAAAATAAATATGTATATTTATAATATATAAATAAAAAAATACATATATTTAACTCACTATATACCAGATATAGTTCTAAGTGCTCCACATTAATGTGCTTGTTTTTTATAACATAAAAGCTATGGTAACATAAAGGAAGACATGTTAAATTGTTGTATTTTTTAATAGACTTTAGAGCAGTTTTAGGTTCACAGCAAAACTGAGTCAAAAGTACAGAGATTTATCTACCCCCTGCCCCCATACCCTCACACCTCCTTCACTGTCAGTGCATGTGTAGTGCTGGATACCTTTTAGATAGTAGGTGTTCAATAAATTATTGAGAGTCAATTATTTTGTTTCTGCCAACTACAAAGAATCATGACAAAGAAAATAGAGTAGTCCTCCAACTCATGGCACAAGTTATGAATTACTCAATGTCAACAATCAGACCCCCAACTCTAAAACAAGTGTTATGCCTTTAAATGTAAGAATGTATTACATTATTATTCTTAAATTTAGGTGTGTTATTTATTAATATTTTTAAATATTGAGACTTTATTATTTTAGATCAGTTTTGGGTTCACATCGAAATTGGGGAGAAAGTACAAAAAATTCCCATCTACCTTCTCCCCCACACTCTGCAGTCTTCCACTAGCAACTTCCGCAAACCGGGGTTACAATCAGTGAACCTCTAGCGGCATTATCATCATCCAAATTTCTCAGCATTATGAAGCACGGAATTACTCTTCTATGGTAGAGAGGTGACTAGACATTTACCTCCAATCAGCTATAGATCGCAAGCTGGAAATTTGACTGAATTTTAATCTGGGTAGCTACTCTTCTTTAGACACAGCATTTTGTTCACTCAGTTCTCAAAACAATGTTCCATTCCTATACTGCCAGAGTAGGTGATATGTTTTAATCAAATCTGGTTTTAAAACATAGAGTTTTAGTAAGGTTGCCCCAGGGAAAACAGACTTCAAGGTCCATAAAACTTGAAGCATCTTGCATAGCATCTGATGAGATAGAAGCCACTTCATAAATATGTGTTAAATAAATAATTTGTATTTAATTATCTCCAGGAATCAACATACATTTTAACGTTAAACTATTCAAAAACATGATTTTTAGTCTTGGGAAGAGTAGAATTTTTCCTTTTTTTCAATATTTTTACCTATGTCCTCATAGAGTGCTGTAACAGAAAAATACAGATAATTGAGCTATGTAAAAGGTGGGATATAAAATATATTATAAAAAACAAAAAACTCAAATAACCGATACAATTAGAAAAAATTCTCCCTACTTACATTTTAAGGAAATTTTCTTTAACCATGAAAAAAATCCAGTATAGAAAAGGAACCCTGTGCATTTTCTTTACAGAGTGCTGTTAATCATTTCGTTTTCATGCTATTAGAAAATTTTCCTTTCCTTGAGAGATCCAAATAACCCTCTTTCCCCTATGGTCATAGTACTTTTTACTTACCTCTATTTTGCTACTTGTAGTTTACGAAAATTGTTTATAGGGCTGCTTTTTCTGCAAACCCACAGAACAGAGAGAGAAAATGTATGTGGCATCGTCTGCTACATGCTCGATAGTCACTCAACTGATTCACTCAACACATGTTTGTTTAGAACAAGGCTAAGCACAGGCCTAGGCAGTGAGTTCACAGCCTTCCAGCTGCCTGGAGCTGAAACAAGTGTAGAGATGTTTACAGTCAGTGTAAATAAATGTGAAGAAAGGGGATGTATGAGGTGCAAGGAAGTAACCGACCTGAACCCCGACCTGTGGAATCAAGAATGACCTTAGAGAGCACCAATGTGAAGCTTAAAGGAGAAATGGGTCAGGCGGGTAAAGAGGAATTTAGGCAGACAGTGAGGGAAAAGTGTTCCAGGACGAAGGAAAAGCAAGCAATAGGCCTAGGGCATGAGATAGAGGAGGAGGAGTAAGTGAGCTGTTCACCCTCTTTAAATGCTTTACATAATCCCTTTAATCTTCTGGGAGATAAGCATTATTATCCCCTTTTGTTTCAGCCTTTTGCTCTAATGATATTCAAATTTTACCCTCTAACCTAAGGAATGAAGTGTTGGTCATACCCAATGCAATAAGTTGGAAGGCTAAGAAGGGAAAAGTCTGGGGCGAACTACAAGGATGCAAACTTCAGATGCTGATCAGAGATGCCCAGAGCTTGATCTTATTAGTGCTGTCCTCCTTCCCTGGACTTTGAGAAAGCAGGGAGCTTTGTGCAACTGACAGAAATCCCGCGGTGGTATGCACTTCCTGACATCATGGCTGCTGATTCACCTTTAGGACTTGCCAGCTTCGGTTGATTTTGTCTTAATGTTGTTAAATTTGTGAAATAAGCCAGCTTTTTAAATGTGAGATTTCTTCGAAATTCCTGGAAATCAGCTAATTCATGTATTTTCTTTCCTTCCTTCCTTCCTTCCTTCCTTTTTCTTTGTCTTTCTATTCCTTTCCTTGTCCTTTCCTTCCTTTCCTTTCCTTCCTTCCTTTCTTTCTTCCTCTTCTTTCTTTCCGTTGCGTTCTGTTCTTTCCTTTCTCGTCTCTCCTCTCTCGTTCTCTCTTTCTTTCTTTTTCTTTCTTTCTTTTTTTTTTTTTTTTTGACAGAGTCTTCCTCTGTTGCCCAGGCTGGAGTGCAATGGCATGATCTCAGCTCACTGCAACCTCCACCTCCCGGTTCAAGCCATTCTCCTGCCTCAGCCTCTGCAGTAGCTGGGACTACGGGGATGTATCACCATGCCTGGCTACTTTTTGTACTTTTAGTAGAGATGAGGTTTCACCATGTCAACCAGTCTGGTCTCAAACTCCAGACCTCAAGTAATCTGCCCGCCTTGGCCTCCCAAAGTGCTGGGATTACAGGCGGTGAGCCACTGGGCCCGGCCATGTATTTATTTTGGTTTCATCTTTAGCTTGCTGTGTATTTTCTTCCTCTCTAAATCAAAGAACTGTTCTGTGTCATCCCTTTTTGTGGGCGTGAAGCAGGCACAGGAGGAGACACCTCTGCGATCCTGGGAGGAAGGAGTGTGTGCATGAGTCTGCTAGTGCTGCCATAACCAAGTCCCACAGACTGGGCAGCTTAAACACTGAAATTCACCCTCCCACAGTTCTGGAGGCTGGATGGCTGAGATCAGGGGGTCCGTTTCCTCTGAGGCCTCTCTCCTTGGCTTGCAGATCGCTGTCTTCTCCCTGTGTCTTCATGTGGTTTTCCTTCCAAAACTGTGTCCAAATTTCCTCCTCTTTTGAGGACACCAGTCATATTGGATTAGGGCCTACTCTAAGGACCTCATTTACCCTTAATTACCTCTTTAAAGGCACTATCTCCAAATATAGTCACATACTAGGTATACTGGGGGCTAGGACTTGGGGTAACACAGTTTAGCTCGTTGCAGTATGCAACGTATTTCATGTCCTGTTTCGTTGCTGGGAATGTGTCTAGGAAACTCTCTAGTACTTAGACCACTGGGAGATAGAAACATTTAAGAGAAGACCACGGGAGGAAAATGGACTTTCTTTGCCTTTGTGTAAGCACCTTCATCTTCTCTTCCATTCAAATTTCAGAGTACAAATTCAGAAATTTCTTCCAAACGACATAAACCCACTTCCCTTTCCATCTGTCTGTTTTGTGAACTAGGAAACTTTGCCGGCTATAATTGTGGAGACTGCAAGTTCGGCTGGACCGGCCCCAACTGCGATCGGAAGAAACCGCCAGTGATTCGGCAGAACATCCATTCCTTGAGTCCTCAGGAGAGAGAGCAGTTCTTGGGCGCCTTAGATCTCGCGAAGAAGAGCGTACACCCCGACTACGTGATCACCACGCAACACTGGCTGGGCCTGCTTGGGCCCGATGGGACCCAGCCGCAGTTTGCCAACTGCAGTGTTTATGATTTTTTTGTGTGGCTGCATTATTATTCTGTTAGAGATACATTATTAGGTGGGTTTTTTCTTTGGCTGAAGGTATATTATTATAGATTTTGTTTGGGTTGAGGGTATGGCAGTGGGAAGTAATTTCATGCAAGTTAATTAACAAGAGAGCAACCTCAAGGCAGCCTTAGGTTTATAAAAGTCGTGGAATTATCAAATACTGCCTGGAGTTAGAAAGACGCAGTGTCTTCCTGCACGTTGGCTGCAGACACTTTAAATGTTCTCTCCTCTACTGTATCTTCTTGGTTCAAAGGGTAAACTCTTCTCTGTGAAGCTGTTAATCATCAAAAGCATGAGTTGGTAAGGTGGAGGTGAATTCCTTTTGATTTCAGAAGAAAATATTTGCAAATCTGACCATGGAAGCCCTCTCTGACCTTTTCTCCAAATTAGAGGAATTAACTGAACATGTGCCAAGGCACATGAAGCTTCTTTGTGCGGAATTAGAGTGCTCATGTTGGAAGTGGGTATCTTGTTAAACTCACATGATAGATCAACTTCGGGTGGATTTTAGGCAGTCTATCACATGATTGACATTCAGATAATCATTTATGGTCCTCCTACATGGTCCAGAACCCCCCGGTTTCTTGGAGCTGTATTGTCAAGGAAAAGTACAAGCTTAGCCAGAGCAATGTAGAGTTTCTGCTGCTTAGCTATTTGCAACACAGTCATGTTGGATGCTTGAGAAATTGGTGACCTGCCCTTCTAGGTCTTAAAAATTGGGGCCTGTGGCCAGGCGCAGTGGCTCAAGCCTGTAATCCCAGCACTTTGGGAGGCCGAGATGGGCGGATCACAAGGTCAGGAGATCGAGACCATCCTGGCTAACACGGTGAAACCCCGTCTCTACTAAAAAAAATACAAAAAACTAGCTGGGTGAGGTGGCGGGCGCCTGTAGTCCCAGCTACTCCGGAGGCTGAGGCAGGAGAATGGCATAAAGCTGGGAGGCGGAGCTTGCAGTGAGCTGAGATCCGGCCACTGCACTCCAGCCTGGGCGACAGAGCGAGACTCTGCCTCAAAAAAAAAAAAAAAAAAAAAAAAGAAAAAAATTGGGGCCTGGTTAGGACTTGGAATGAGGTAGTTGTCTGTTACAAACTTCATGGATCAAGTAGGTTCAGCTTTGTCCTTATTTTTCAGTCAAAGGAAAGCCACAGACACCAATGTATTCTAGGAGGGCTTGACTCCGTCCTAGATTCTTCTCATAGCAGTCCTTGAATGCATGGCTGTACGTGCCCCTGTCCCCATTTTTGGGGTCCTTCATTGGGGTCAGGATGAATGAAGACATCAAGCTCACTTTGAAGAGCGAGATTCTGATTTGGACACGTTCATCCCTCTGCTCATCACTTGTTCCCGTTCACTTGATACCCTCTTGTGGTTGGGTTCTGAGAATTTGAAACCTTGCTCTGGATTAAACATGAAACAGGGCTGTGTAGCCAACATGAGGGACAGCAGTGCTTTTCTCAGTGTGAGTCTTTTAAAACTTGCCTTACAGGTAAGCATCTGTCTTTCTTTATCGATAGATAAGGAGGCTCTTTTGGCTATAAACCTTTATAGTTTTCCTGTCATCACTCTGAGGAATTTTTGCTTTATGAGAGGGTAGTCTCTCAAGAGGAAAAGAAAATGATAGTTTCTGGTCATAGCTAGGAATTAAATTTATATTCATGTCTGTTCAACTCTCTGAAGTTATTATAGGTATTTTGAACAAGAACTAAAGTTAGCTAAAGTTTCTACATAACCATCAAAGCTGTTATGAAAAAGGGAAGAAGGATGGACCAGGCAGTAAGGAGGTCATTAAATCGTCCAGAGCTTTTTACTAAAATTGGCAGTTCCAGTGTCCAGCCTAAATGGCTTGAATGTATTTTTCTCTCTTCTGGTCTCAGCGAGCATGCTTGTCAGCTAGTAGTTATAACAGATTGACGGGTGAGGCAAAATACGTGAAAGTTCTTTTTGGTTGCATAAATACTGCATTAGGACTAAGTGCAGTAGAAGTGACGATATTATTAATCCCTCCCTTTTAAATTTATACCTTTGTGAAGCATAGGTTAGCAAATGCCTTTTACAAATATATTTCATTTAGGTCTTAATGATCTATTCTTTTGGATAGTTTATTTCACCTGAATGGATTGTTGCTTACAAATTAAATATGTATCAGGGGCTGAAAGTCACCTGAATTTCCTGGATCTCTGCTAGAAATCAACCTTTTGATAGATAAAGGATGGTTTATCCTAAAAGTACTAGTTACTTCTGAAATTCATGTCATTGCTGTTGCTTTTGGAGAGAGAAATAACAACAGACTTTTTTCTTACTACTATAAAACATCATGGACTTATTGGCTCTATAGATACAGCCTAGGTAAGATTTAACATTTAAAAAATTCTATTCTGTCATCTCTAATATGTTTCCCAATTGTTTCAGGACCAGGACGCCCCTACAAGGCCATAGATTTCTCACATCAAGGACCTGCTTTTGTTACCTGGCACAGGTACCATTTGTTGTGTCTGGAAAGAGATCTCCAGGTAGGTCAAAACTATGCATTTAGTACTTTTATTTTTTTAAAAAAAATTTATTGTATATATTTAAGCCATACAATGTGGGTTTTGATATACTTATCTTGATGTTCATATAAGGTAAGTGATTACATACCCAGCATCACATAGAGATATCTCTTTTTGTGTGTGTGTGGTAAGAGTACCTAAGGTCTACTCTCTTGGCAAATTACCAGTACACAATACAACCTTAACTATAGTCTCAGACCTCTAGACTTATTTATCCTACATAACTGCAACTTTGCACCTTTCAGTCTACGTCTTCCCATTTCTCCCAGTCCCTTGTAACTACTATGTAACTCTCTTTCTATGTACTCATTGTTTCTTTTTCTTTTTTCTTCTTTTCTTTAGATCCCACATGTAAGTGAGATCATACAGTGTTTTCCTTTCTGTGTCTGGCTTATTTCACTTGGCATAATGTCTTCTAGATTCATCTGTGTTGTTGCAAATGGCAGGATCTCCTTTTAAAAGGCTGAATAATATTCCATTGTATACAGTGTATATATGTATATTACATATATAATATACACACACTGATTATATATATAAAATATATAATATGTATTTTGTGTATATATAATATACACACACTGATTTATGTCACAGTTTCTTCATTCATTTATCCATCTGGCACTCTTAGTCTTGGTAGACATTTGGTTGAGATACATATCAGTCTTTGCCTTGTATGCTTTCTTGTTGTATCTGATGGCATAGATTAAATGACTAGGCATGCCCTTTGCTTTTAGCGACTCATTGGCAATGAGTCTTTTGCTTTGCCCTACTGGAACTTTGCCACTGGGAGGAACGAGTGTGATGTGTGTACAGACCAGCTGTTTGGAGCAGCGAGACCAGACGATCCGACTCTGATTAGTCAGAACTCAAGATTCTCCAGCTGGGAAACTGTCTGTGATAGGTAATGGCTCCTATACCTGCAATGGTGTCCAGAGATAGTCTTTTCTGATGTCTGAGACGTGGAGAAGTCACTTTATAGTTCTGTTTCTTAGGCATGTGGTATCCTATTTACATGTTTCTGAAAACAGTTTTCCTATGGGAGGTGGGATTTCAAAAGTTCTAAGCTCTTTAATTAATAGAATAGATATATCAAAATCACATTTGTGAATTGATTATGCTTGGTCGTCATTCATTTTGAAATCAGGTTCGTTTTATCAGGTTAGTGCAAATGTAATTGCGGTTTTTGCCTTTAGAAGTAACAGCAAAAACTGCAATTACTTTTACACCAACCTAATCAAATTAAGAGTAGTTCTTGCATTCAGTCAACATTTGCTAAGCACCACCGTATCCTACGTGATGTAGTTACTGCCGAGAATACAAAGATGAGTGAAATAAAATCTCCCTTTTGAATATTGTCTTGTATTAACAAAGGTAGATTTCTTGTAAGTAAATTACAATTGAGTGTGAGAAGCACTGTAACAGATGTATATACAAAGACAAGAAGAGAGTCTGGGCAAGTCCCAAAGAGGCAGAGATGGTGGTTCTGAGAAGGGAAGGGGCACAGGCCTTAGTCAGGTGTAGAGGAGGTGAGGGGAGTGTGGGAGGGCAGTGGGTGGGTCCTTGGTAGAGGGAACATCATGCGTGAAGTTAGATAATTCTCTGGAAACAGCCTGATATGGCTGAGCCATGGGATGCTGGTGAGTTGAGGAGGACAGGGGCTTGGGGACAGCCAGGGAAGGATGGTCTCTGACATGCTAAAGACTTCACACATGGGTCAGTGGCCTGGCCTGCAGTCCATGAAGAGTTCTGTCCTCAAAGACTCCTTGAATTTGTTTCTCTGTCCTGGAACACATTTCAGCAAAAAATTTCCCAAGAGGCTCCTCACCTTCCTTTATTCATTTTTTCTCTCCAAAATCCATGTCCCCCTCCCCCTGCGCCTCTTTATTTTGAAATGGGGTCTTACTCTGTCACCAGGCTGGAGTGCAGTGGTGTGATCTCGGCTCACTGCAACCTCTGACTCGATTCTCCTGCCTCAGCCTCTTGAGTAGCTGGGATTGCAGATTTGTGCCACCACGCCTGGCTAATATTTGTATTTTTAGTAGAGATGGGGTTTCACCACGTTGGCCAGGAGGGTCTCGATCTCCTGACCTCATGTAATCTGCCTGCCTCAGCCTCCCAAAGTGCTGGGATTACAGGCCTGAGCCACCACGTCTGGCCTCAGAATCCCTGTGTTTTAAACCCCACTGCTCTACTTTCCTCCCAGGTCCTTAGACTGCTCCAGGGCACAGAGCTCAGGCTTCCCCTGCCCCCAGGCTTCACTGCCAACACCCTGAGCCTGGGCAGGTATGCGTTTTGAGGGGCCCATGCCCAGCTAGCAGGGACTTTGTCTTCCACATCCTGTGCTTCTCCTCCGGTGCTCAGAACAGTGCTCCACGAGTAGGGACATCATCAGTGCTCTTTCCGTGACTGAGCTTAATTCCGTCAAGCGCTGTTTCCCACCGTACTTTGGGATAGTAGAGGCTGGTACGTGAACAGAGATTTCTGTCATCAAGCAAATTTACAGAAGGCTGAGTTTAAAAGGTTTTAAAATTTTTAGAATGTCTTCAAGCCTTCCACAGATAAATGTGTTATGCTTTTTCAAGAGGAGCCTAACCTTACCTGACCCTGGAGCTCTTACTTCACGGGGCATCCCATTGGAATCCACTTTGGGAACTGCTGCCTGGGAGCCCTTGGAGACCTTTCTTAGCTTAGGGTTTAGGTCCTGGCCTCTTTCATTCCTGTGGATGTGCTGATTCTGTTCTCACATACTCAGTCCTACCCCTAATCATGAAAACCCTCACAATAACATCTTTAAATTTTTATCTCTACCAGTGAAATAATGGTCTGCCCTTTGGGAGACCAAGGTGTGAGGATTGCTTGCGGCCAAGACTTCGAGACAAGTCTGGGCAATGTAGTGAAACCCTGTCTCTACAAAAAGTTTAAAAAGTTAGCCCAGCTAACTTTTGACTTATAGGCGCGGTGGCTCACGCCTATAATCTCAGCACTTTGGGAGGCCGAGGCGGGAGGATCATCTGAGGTCAGGAGTTTGAGACCAGCCTGACCAACATGGTGAAACCCTGTCTCTACTTAAAATACATAAATTAGCTGGGCATGGTGGTATGAGCCTGTAGTCCCAGCTACTCAGGAGGCTGAGGCAGGAGAATTGCTTGAACTCAGGAGGCGGAGGTTGCAGTGCGCCATTGCACTCCAGCCTGGGCTACAGAGTGAGACTCTGTCTCAAAAAAACAAAAATAAAACACAAAAATGGGCCAGTTGTGGTGATGTGCACCTGTAGTCCCAGCTACTAGGAAGGCTGAGGCGGGGGGATTGCTTGATCCCAGGAGTTCAAGGCTGCAGTCAGCTGTGATAGTGCCACTGCACTCTAGCCTATACAACAGAGTGAGACCCTATCTCTAAATAAAAAAGAAAAAAATAAACAGAAAGAAAGAAACACTATTCTGATGGTGGAATCCAGGCCACAGCAGGCATGTAGGATATAATGTCTTATGGACATGGGACCTTCTCAGTCCGTGCTGAGCACATAACTATTGATACTCTACTACCTTGGAACATTTTCCAACGCAACGTTTCTTCTAGTATCTCCCCTTTGTGTACTTTCATCTGCTTTTACTCTGACCTCCCCTGTTTGCCTTCAATTTGCCTAAAATACTTTCGTAACTTTACATGTCACTTCTGCCAAAACTAGCTTAGCTCAACACAATATGAACCATCCTATTCTCCCTTCAGTTACTCAAATTTCAAATGCACACAATAGAAGTCATTTTGCCTTGTAAACCTTTCACTGTCTTTCCAACAGAATGGTAATGATTATTCATATTTATACCCATGTCCATATTTTGCGCATCTCCGTTTTTGGAATTTCTCAACCCATAATGGCTTTCAGGTATAGTACTTTTTACCACATATTGTTAACTCTGGTAAAGTAATTATAATAAAATTTGACCATGATTGTGACCCTGATTGGTTTGCTTGGTGCAAATTTATAATACCATCCACAAGTTAAGACATATTACTTTTTGTTTTTGGTTTTTTTTTTCTTCTTGAGACAGGGTCTCACTCTGTCACCAAGGCTGGAGGGCAGTGACATGATCTCTGCTCACTGCAGCCTCCATCTCCTGGGTTCAAGCGATTCTCCTGCCTCAGCCTCCTGAGTAGTTGGGGCAACAGGCACACGCTACCACGCCCAGATAATTTTTGTATTTTTAGTAGAGTCGAGGCTTTGCCATATTGGCCAAATTGGTCTCGAACTCCTGGCCTCACGGGATCCACCTGCTTTAGCCTCCCAAAGAACTAGGATTACAGACGTGAGCCGTCGCACCCAGCCAAGACATATTATTTTAAATCTTATTACAAATCTTAGCTTGGATGACTACAACCACCGGGTCACCTTGTGCAATGGAACCTATGAAGGTTTGCTGAGAAGAAATCAAATGGGAAGAAATAGTGTGAAATTGCCAACCTTCAAAAACATACGAGATTGCCTGTCTCTCCGGAAGTTTGACAATCCTCCCTTCTTCCAGAACTCTACCTTCAGTTTCAGGTGGGTGCTCTGAGCGCAGCTGGACCTGCGTGTACAGTACAGGTTTTCATGCATCTGGTTGTGATGAACTGGAAGGAAACCCAGGTTTTGGGGGTTGACTACGAAGCTAAGTGATGAAGAGAGGCTTAGTAAGAGAAGTTAGCAAGGGATTGGTGTGAGGAAAGTCTTTACCCATCTACTATGACTGACAATGTGGTTTTAATGCGTTCTAACTTAGCTGTTGAAAACCACCTTTTGTATTTCTAATTGCTGTACGTCAATAGGTGCAGTCTTCGGAACCAGGGTGCTTCATTAAATACAGTGTTTTCTCAATGCCCATACCCTTTTTCTTTTCTTTCTTATTTTTTAATATGTTGATATTAGAAATTTATCAGCCATACACCTTAATAGTGGGGTCTGAGATCTCAGAGGAGTATTGCAGGCTAAATTCAACTCAAATCATAGCACAGCAATGACATTACAATACTTAACATTTAAAGACCACTATTAATCTTCCACCACACGTTGGGCATGATGCTCATGCCTGTAATCCTACTGCTTTGGGAGACCAATGAGGGAGGACTGCTTGAGTCCAGGAGTTTGAGACCACCTGGGCAACACAGCAAGACCCTGTCTCTACAAAAAATTAAAAAGCAGCCAGGTGTGGTGGTATGTACCTGTAGAGGGGGGCCCAGAATTTAAGCACATCTCAAAATCACTAAAGAAAAACATATTTCATGCCCTGCTCCCAGAGTTTCTGATTCAGTAGGTGTAGGCTGTGTCTTAACAATTTGCATTTCTAAGCAAATCCCAAACGATGCTAGTTAAGGTGTTCTAAGCACTGCATTTTGAGAACAACTCCCCTAACTCAAACATATAGGAAATGCAATCTATTTTAATAGCACTTTTGTCACAATGAAAAATTAATTCATCCTCCTTTTCAAAACAGCCTTAAATGTTATCCTTCCCCCACCTTTGACATTACTCTGAAGGCTGTGTCCAACCCCAACAGACTCTGAGCCATGCTACACTTAGCAGAACCTCTACATGTGAGTTCAGCCTACCCTGCCCTGGTCCCATACAAGTTGTCTTCTTTAAACACAGTTAAGAGAGAGAATCCAGTTTTGGAGAAGATCTTTAATCTATCTACCACCCCCTTTTTGGACCCATCTTTGTTTAAAATCTTATTTATAAACGTATTTCTCATAATTCTTAAAGTCTTTTTATGGTGGTAGAATTTTTTTTTTCTTTTTTGTAGAGCCAGGGTCTTGCTGTGTCACCCAGGGTAGAATGCAGTGGCACAATCATGGCTAACTGTAACCTCAAACTCCTGGGCTCAAGTGATCCTCCTACCTCAGCCTACTGAGTAGCTGGATCTTCAGTCAGGCTGAAGGTCTATTTGGTTGAGAAATATAAATATCAGATTAAATGTTAAATAAAATATTGATCGCAATCATGTGCTGGGCATGGTACTGAACCCTGGCAATAAATATCTGAAGAAAACACAGAACCTGCTCTCCAAAGGTATGAGAGACAGGTATGAAGGTTGTCACACAGTATACAAAAGAGATATAATTCAGAAATAGCATTGATTAGGAGTTCTCTCCCCTTACAGAGGATTATCGTTAAAGTTTGGGGCTAATTCTTGGTGAATTTGTTATGACAGAGCTTCCCATACACCTACCCAATCTCAAATTAGAAAACTATCATCTAGGCTGAAAACGACAAAAAAGAGACCTTTATCAGTCTTTGTCTGTTGTCACTGATGTACTTGTTTCTCCCAGGAATGCCTTGGAAGGGTTTGATAAAGCCGATGGGACTCTGGATTCTCAAGTGATGAGCCTTCATAATTTGGTTCATTCCTTCTTGAACGGGACAAATGCTTTGCCACATTCAGCTGCCAATGATCCCATTTTTGTGGTATGTCGAAGACTCAGAATGCATGAAAAATTTCTAGATAACATGTCAGATTTACTGTTTTCCATACAATTAAGATTTGGCGGTGTTTTATTCTCTGTTGAACAACGTGGTGTGTGCAAATGTAAATTAATTTCCATCTATACCATAGAGATGGTTAGGTGGCATTTGAAGGCCCTACTCAGAACCCATGCTTCAGGGATGGTTCAGTTTTGGATGATCTTAGACGAGTTTATAATTCCACTGGAGAATTCATAAGTTAGCATAATAATCAATGATTTTTCATTGGCTAAATGAGTGTTGTTGAGGTCCATTAGTCCACACAAACCACCTTCAATGTGTTACCTGTAGGAAAGAGAGGTTCTGTTAGCCAGAAAAGGGGAGGAGAATGGAGAGGGCATGTTGGACATTTAAACCTCCTATGCCAACTTGAGTGAGCTTTACTTGAGAAAGAAGAAAAGCAGCCCCTGATATCCAAGAGCTGGCCTGGTGCTATCAACCAGGTGTTGATGTCCCCCGTTGGACATAAACAATCTCGTGGAACATCGATGGCAGACAAGGCCACTCTGTGCCCATGATGGATCAGGACAAAAATAAGACAACTCCATAACCGTGTCTGAGCACAGACAAATTACGAACATTGTCCAAGTCACAAAATGCATGACATCCCCTTTCCTGGCTATTATAAGCAAAAAATGACAAATGCCTTCACTGACAGCATTAATACAAAAACTCACATTTGAGGCAATTTAATTTGTTAATCTGATTCATACCTCTGACGTGTAATAATACAGACAGTAAACAGGATTGCTGTTGACTGTGCGGGAGCCTCACCGTTGTTTAAATTTCAGTGTGATGAACTCCTTTGGTATATCAGTTAATTCCTGTCTCACTTTAAAACAAAAGAAGAAAACTGCCGGGCATGGTGGCTCATGACTGTAATCTCAGTACCTTGGGAGGCTGAGGAGTTCGAGACCAGCCTGGGCAACATTGTGAGACCTTTTCTCTACCAAAAAACTTTATAAATTAGCTGGACATGGTAGCATGCACCTGTGGTCCCAGCTACTTGGGAGGCTGTGGTGGGAGGATCACTTGAGCCTGGGAGGTTGAGGCTGCAGTGAGTCATGATCGTGCCACTGCACCCCAGCCTGTGCAACAGGGTGAGACCCTGTTTCAAAAACAAAAACAAACTGAACAAAACTTGACAAAAAAGATTGTAAATGTTTACATTTCTTGAACTTTTAGTGTTTTTGTTTTTTGTTTTTGAGACGGCAGTCTTGCTCCATTGCCATCGGCTAGGAGTACCATGGCACTGATCTCAGCTCACTGCAACTCTGCCCTCCTGGGTTCAAGTGATTCTTCCTGCTCCACCTCCCAAGTAATTGGGACTACAGGTGCATGCCACCATGCCCGGTTAATTTTTGTATATTTACTAGAGACAAGGTTTCACCATATTGGCCAGGCTGGTCTCGAACTCCTGACCTCCTGATCTGCCTGCCTCAGCCTCCCAAAGTGCTGGGATTACAGGTATGAGCCACTAGGCCCAGCCGTTAGTTTTTAGAGTATGTTCATCCCCTCGTGAACTCAAAATATATTCAGAGTGGCCTTGTCTGCTGTCGATGTTCTATGAAATTGTTAATGTCTGATAGGGGGACATCAAGGCCTCGTTGATAGTGCCAGGCCAGCTCTTGAATGTCAGGGACTGCTTTTCTAAGTACAGGTCACTCAAGTTGTCGTAAGAGATTTAGACAACATAAACATTCTTGTTTCGGTAGCCAATCCCTAACAGTGCTTCTGCTTTACAGATACTAAACTCACCATCGTCTATTTTAACCCTGTCTGTGTGTCTTCTGAGTTGCATGTCTTGAATAGATAGTTTTGGAGCAATTCCAAGAAGAAATTTCACCTCTTCTCCTTTCTTATTTTGCGAGTATTTTGAGTTTATATTGTTATTCAGTTAGATTGTATGGAATCCAGAGACTCTCTGTTTTTTTTTTCCAGAATTTTCCTCACCTTAATGTTAATCTTAGCAATGTGTCTTAGTCTGCTCAGGCTGCCATAACGAAAGACCACAGAGTGGATGAGTTAAGCAACAGAAATTTATATCCCACAGTTCTAGAGGCCAGGAGGTCTGAGACCGAGGTGCCAGCTGATTTGGTTCCTGGTGAAGACGCTCTTCCTGAGCCTTCTAGCTGCGTCCTCACATAGTGGAGGGAGAGAGAGCATAAACTCTCTGATGCCTCTTTTTACGATAACACTAATCCAGGGCCCTACTGTTCTGACCTCATTAAACCTTAATGACCTCTTTCTAGGCTCTATCTCCAAATACAGTCACATTGTAGGTTAGGGCTTCAACATATGGATTTTGGGGGAACACAATTCAGTCTGTATATAGCATTTATAATGCATCGTCAAACCATCAGTTTATAGAAGTTTGTTTTTCTTTTCTTTTTTCTTTTTGAGATGGCGTCTCACTCTGTTGCCCAGGCTGGAATGCAGTGGTGCGATTTTGGCCCACCGCAACCTCCGCCTCCCGGGTTCAAGTGATTCTCCTACCTCAGCCTCCCGAGTAGCTGGCATTACAGGCACGTGCCACTGCACCTGGCTAATTTATGTATTTTGAGTAGAGACAAGGTTTCACCATGTTAGCCAGGCTGGTCTTGAACTCCTGACCTCAAGTGATCCTCTGGCCTCGGCCTCTCAAAGTGCTGAGATTATAGGCGTGAGCCACCGCGCCCAGCTGGAAGTTTGTTTTTCTAGAGTTTTGGGAGGCTTCATGACTGATTACAAGTCAATCAGTTTTACTTGATACAGACCAGGGCAATCTTGGGAGTGTAATTGAACCATATGGAGCTTCTGCTTCCCACTCTGCAACGTGTGGGTCTCGACCCGATCTGGCAGTGAAAATGTACTCAGTGAAGTGACTCTTAGTAGATTAGGACAACAGGAAACCGGTCTAGAGCCTGTCAAGTACAATGCAAATGTCATCATAAAAATAATAACGTGCTTTATAATGGTCAGAATTAGAGAACTATATGTTAGGTTTAGATTTTCAAACCTTAATTAAGATTTCTTATCTTGTTCTCCAAAGCAGACAGTCATGCCCTAAGACGTTTTACTAATAAGCACAAAGTCAGAAGTATTTCACAGGTGATTATTATTGTTACTCAACCCAGGTACAAAAAGAGGAGCTATGAAGAGGGAGAGTGAAGGTATAGCTTTCAGTGACTCTAAGCTTGCCTGATGGGTGTGAAGTAGCTTTCTGGGGCTGCTAGAGAGGTTAAAGCATAGTCAGGTGAGCTTCAAGAAATCGTAAGACAGAATTAGTTGGTAGAGTTGTTCTTTCCTTTGAAAAAATGTTTCTTTCCTCATATTTGCATAGTAGCAATAAATGAAGGGGTTGTCAGAAGTCTGAATTAATGGTCTAACAAGGTGGGGGCTTATTTAACAAGGTGGGGGATTATCTGTAATGTCGCCACAGCGATCTTTGCTTTTCTCTAGAATGCCCGCCTTGTTCGATGATTCTAACTTGATGGTTCAGATCATTTTTTCTGGCTATCGTCTCAGCCATAGCTTATGCCAAGCATTTCTGGTGTCTGCTTTCTCAGCCATACATCCGTACATCTATTTATCTATACTATACGTCTCTAAGTATTTATTAAAGCATACATTGTCAACTGTACAATTTATACACACAATTCATATTCATAAGGAAAAATGTCACAGTACTCCTTATCCAGTACTCCAATATATTATAAGTAGAACAGCAGAATCCTCTGATAAATTAAGGATTATACCCCAACTCTTTCTCTCTTATTAAAAGTGATGCTAGTAATTTGATTTTCTGCATCCCAAGTCTCCAGGATTGCTAAACCTTATCTCCTTCTTTTGAACAAGCCCACTAAGTGGATGGAAATTGGCAACATTTTTCTGTAAATAGCCAGATAGCAAATATTTTGGGCTTTGGAGCCAGATGTTCTCTGTTGTAACTACTGAATTCTGCCCCTGTAGCATGAAATCAGCCATAGATCATGCATAAACAAATGAATGTGGTGTTGCAATGAAACTTTATTTACAAAAATAGGTTTTAGGCTCTGTTAGGCCTTCAGGCTTTAATTTATCAACCTGTGGTATAAAGGATTCACTGCTCTTCTTTGTATTAGTTTGTAGTAAGGATAGTAGGAATCTCTCCCTCCCTCCCTCTCTCTCTCTCTCTCTTTTTAAGAGACAGTCTCTCTCTGTTGCCAGGCTGAAATGCAATAGCATGATCATAGCTCACTGGAGCCTCGAACTTCTGGGCTCAAGTGATCCTCCTGCCTCAGCCTCCCAAGAAGCTAGGACTATAGCCACGTACCACCATGCCTAGCTTTTTTTTTTTTTTTTACTTTTTATTTTTGTAGAGATGAGGTCTTACTATGTTGCCTAGGCTGGTCTCAGAACTCCTAGCCTCAAGCAATCCTCCCACCTTGGCCTCCTAAAGCACTGGGTGAGCCACCATAGCTGGCCTGTAGTAGGGATATCCCTTTAGTCATATTTCTCCTTCTGCTTTAGTGTGGAAGCTCACATTGTAACTTAATGGATGAGAAATCCCATGACTTAACATGGTTCAGAGATATAAGACATTTAATCATCTTTGTCTTTGTTGCTTTTAATGTACTTAATGTTAAAATTTTATTTTCTTTAGTAGTATGTGTAATATACAAATAAGCAAAAAGCCACAGCCTTTCGTTAAAGGCATAGAATGAATAATGTTTTGGCACTAGTTCCAGAACTCACAGTTACTTCAGGCTATTTTCAAAGAGTTTTATGCTGAAGCCAATTCAGCTTTAAATGATTTTTCACATATTGAGATCCAGGTTAAAGCATTTCAGTTAACAGAGTTATAGCTTCTGGAATTTCAAATTCACGAGGCAATTCATGCAAATATATTGCACATGACATTTATTAAAATTATTTTTTGTGAAATCTCTTCAAGCAATAGAGCTACAAAATTGTATGTGATC